GTTACGTATTTAAATGTCGTTTCAGTATACGGATGTAAGTCTATCGAAATTTAATGACTTGAACAGACTTCTATGTGATTTTAGTGGCTTACTATAATGATAACCAAACAGTTTGCGTAATACTTTACGTTTTCAGTGACATGACGGTTAAGAAATAGGTATAGAATGTTCCAGAACTGTGTTGAGTTAGCTAGAAAGGGATTAGCGAATAAATAAACGAGTACAGTTACACTTGACGCGGTTGACGATATATTACTTCGGATAGCTAGTGGGCGTCGGATCGTGCTCTGAATTAGATATTGGACGATCTTGCAATTATTACGGCCGGTCATTATAGCATCAGAGGCGCGAGTGATTAATGTTGTTAATTAAATTGTTTAGAGCAATTTCATCTTTATGTGTACATGTTAAAATTCAATTTTAAACTAACACGTGTACGTTTAAAAACCAGATTCTAAATTAACAATGTTTTAAAGTATTTAATTCATGGGGAATTTGTAATAGGATGTGTATAATTCGAATGGACTGTTTGAAATTGTTTTGAGATTATTATCTGTGTCGATGCTTGTTAAGATCAAGAATACGAAGCTATTGCCTCATATTTTACGATTTCCGTCACAAAATATCTATTAGTTTTACACGGTAATTGACTTTTTTAACTTAATTCTGGAATCGAATTCTTACATAATAATTACTTCTCAGTGTTTACTTAAATATCGATGAGTTAAATCTTAATAATATAAACGGGACAGTTTAGATGGATGGTTGTTTTTTTAAAAGTTTATTGTCTAAACAGCTGAACGGATCTCGATGAAATTTGCCATAGATGTAGAGACAGTCTTAGAACACATAAGCTTTTATTTTTTTCTACTTTTGTTGATCTAATGTAATTAAAACATTTGTTAAAATCGTTTTCGTAATTCTAGAATTTATCAAACAGACAATAAAGTAAGCAATTATTTGTTTATTCTTGTTTTCTTCTTTAATTTCGATATAATTTCTTTTTAATTTGTAAAGTTTTTATGAACAAAAAGTGCCTTTATTTCCGTAAAAAGGTTTTCTCTTGCATACTAAAGCGCTACACGTGTAAAGACTTCCCACGAACAACTTTATTAACTCATTAGCTTGAAGAACGACTTCATAAAGTGTCACTGGCCGCGGGACATCGTTCATTATCCATCGATAATGGCTTTAATAAAAACCTACATTACTATACCAAGAAGTAACTCAAGAAAATTTACTTTAAAAATACATTTACAGTACATTGCGTTTTTAGTTCCTCATTCAATGTAGATGATACGTATAAATCAAGCAATGTACTATAAAATTGATATGTTAACGATTTCATTTAGTGTAAGTAGTAGCAGGATGATGGTAGCCTGAAGGCTTAAGGGGTTTTGCAGTGGTGCAGTGCTGCCAACAGGTGGTGCCCCGAGGGTGCGCCACTGCGCCCCGCCGAGATAACATCAGTCTAGACTTGTTATTGTAATGCGGTAGCCAATACTAGCTGTATAGCTAACGGCTG